GAAGAAGCCAGGCAAGCAGAGGAGGCGCGACTGGCAGAGGAAGCCAGGCGGGCAGAGGAGGCGCGACTGGCAGAGGAAGCCAGGCGGGCAGAGGAGGTGCGCCTGGCAGAGGAAGCGCGGCGAGCAGAGGAGGCGCGTCTGGCAGAGGAAGCAAGGCGAGCAGAAAAGGCGCGACTGGCAGAAGAAGCCAGGCAAGCAGAGGAGGCGCGTTTGGCAGAGGAAGCCAGGCGAGCAGAGGAGGCACGTTTGGCAGAGGAAGCCAGGCGAGCAGAAGAGGCGCGACTGGCAGAAGAAGCCAGGCAAGCAGAGGAGGCGCGACTGGCAGAGGAAGCCAGGCGGGCAGAGGAGGCGCGCCTGGCAGAGGAAGCGCGGCGAGCAGAGGAGGCGCGGCTGGCAGAAAAAGCCAGGCAAGCAGAGGAGGCGCGTTTGGCAGAGGAAGCCAGGCAAGCAGAGGAGGCGCGGCTGGCAGAAGAAGCCAGGCAAGCAGAGGAGGCGCGTTTGGCAGAGGAAGCCAGGCGAGCAGAGGAGGCGCGTCTGGCAGAGGAAGCCAGGCGAGCAGAGGAGGCGCGTCTGGCAGAGGAAGCCATGCGAGCAGAGGAGGCGCGACTGGCAGAGGAAGCCAGGCGAGAAGAGGAGGCGCGTCTTGCGGAAGCCAGGCGAGCAGAGGAGGCGCGACTGGCAGAGGAAGCCAGGCGAGCAGAAGAGGCGCGACTGGCAGAAGAAGCCAGGCGAGCAGAGGAGGCGCGACTGGCAGAGAAAGCAAGGCGCGCAGAGGAGGCGCGCCTGGCAGAGGAAGCGCGGCGAGCAGAGGAGGCGCGGCTGGCAGAGGAAGCCAGGCGAGAAGAGGAGGCGCGGCTGGCAGAAGAAGCCAGGCAAGCAGAGGAGGCGCGTTTGGCAGAGGAAGCCAGGCGAGCAGAGGAGGCACGACTGGCAGAGGAAGCCAGGCGAGCAGAGGAGGCGCGTCTGGCAGAGGAAGCCATGCGAGCAGAGGAGGCGCGACTGGCAGAGGAAGCCAGGCGAGAAGAGGAGGCGCGTTTGGCAGAGGAAGCCAGGCGAGCAGAGGAGGTGCGACTGGCAGAGGAAGCCAGGCGATCAGAGGAGGCGCGACTGGCAGAGGAAGCCAGGCAAGCACAGGAGGCGCGTCTTGCAGAGGAAGCCAAGCGAGCAGAGGAGGCGCGCCTGGCAGAGGAAGCCAGGCGAGCGGAGGAGGTGCGACTGGCGCAGGAAAGGCGAGCGCGCCAGGCAGAAGAAGCCAAAGAAGCAGAGTTTCTTGCACAGACGCGCAGAGAAACAGTTTCAAGTCTTGTTGTCAGTGCAAAAGCAGCATCCGAGGAGGCACGACGGATTGCAGAGCGTGTGCTTTCTGCAGCACCGAAGCAGAAGCCTGCAGCCCCTGCCGTTCAAAGCCTTCCAAAAGTCGCAGCCCTAGGTGTCATTCATTTTGATGTCATGTAGCTCAGCATTTGGCGCAACGCTGGGCATCATTCCAAAGCCTTCTCCCTGTTCGCTCGAGGTACCTTTGCCAGACAACGTCGTAGAAGAGGCTGGAGAACAGTACGCAACAAGCGTTCCAGTTTGTCTTCATGATTTGACGTAGGGTTCCGTATTTGTGGATGGGAGGGTAACAATGTCACCTTGTGTAGCTACGCTGTGCAAAGGCGATCCCCAGATCCTTTGTTCGGGGTGTGAAAGGTGTTTGCCCCCAAAACAAAGCGTCCGGGAGGAGGAGCCTTTAAAAGGCCCGTTCAGGTCGGGATCCCCAAGTTAAGAAGAAATAAAAGCAAATCTGAGGGTTCTAATGAAGAATCAGTAGACCCTTTCACTGTTGTTGGCATGTTTTTGTCTTTTTGTTTGGCCCTGTTCATTTTTAGTAGGATGCAAACGGCTCGGGTTGGGTTCCAAAAAAAATACAGACCCCATAAGTTTCTAAGACATCCCCAACCCATCTGGAAGGACGCCTTGGCCCAGCTTCTGGCCTACGACCTGCCGCGAGAGGTCCGGGCCCCGGGCAATGGCACGCTGTGCGCCATCGGAGATGGGCCACTGGTGTCCCAACTCCGAAATCCGAAGGGCTCAAGGCGAATTCGCGTGAATTGACGCGTCCAACTCATGGCGTGCGTCCGCTTGCTCGATGGCAGGGAGGTGATGAGGCGGGAGGAGCTGCTTGGACACGAGGAGGCGAATTTCAGGCGGCTCGCGCTGGCTTGTGGCCTGGACCAGTTGCCAGAGAGTCCGGGGGAGAATTCTGAGTGCCTGACGGCTGTTGTACGGCAGTATGTTGAAGTAGCCACAGGTGCAGCGGAGGGTCTGGGAAGTTGTTTCGACTTGCTGCAAGCGGCAGAAAGAGGCAACACACAGCATGTGCTAGAGCTGTTAGAGAAGCCTCATGATCCCAATGCTGCTAAAAGAAACCGCCATGTGACACCTTTGCATAACGCTGCTGAAAACGGCCATTTGGCAGTTGCGCAGTTCTTGCTGGAAGTGGGTGCTAACACAGAGAAGGCGAACTGCGACGGTTTTACACCATTGCATAGGGCTGCACAGCAGGGACATCGGGCAGTCAATGCTTGCTGGAAGCCGGTGCTGATAAAGAGAAGTCGACCAACTATGGTATCACACCATTGCATAGCGCTGCAGTAGGAGGCCGTGAGTCAGTTGTTCACTGCTTGCTGGAAGCCGGTGCTGATAAAGAGAAGGCGAACAGCGACGGTGTTATATACAGCATTGTACTTTGCTGCGCAGCGAGGCCATCAGGCAGTAGCGCAGTGCTTGCTGGAAGCCTGTGCTGACAAAGAAAAGGCGATGCACACTGGCGCCACACTATTGCATTTTGCTGCACTGATGGGCCATTCGCTAGAAGTGGGAGCTGACAAAGAGAAGGCGACCAACGACGGGGCTACCCCATTGCATTTTGCTGCGCAGCAGGGGTATCAGGCAATTGCTCAATGCTTGCTGGAAGCCGGAGCTGACAACCACAGGGCGCACAACTATGGTGCTACATATTATTGTATATTGCTTCACAGCAGGGCCATCAGGCAGTCGTCCGTTGCTTGCTGGAAGGCGGAGCTGACACAGAGAAGGCCACCAACGACGGCGTCACACCGATGTACATTGCTGCACAGAAGGGCCATCCATCAGTTCGATGCTTGCCGGAAGCCGGTGCTGACAACGAGAAGGCGACCAACAATGGTTTCACACCATTGCAAAGTGCTGCACAGGAGGGCCATGAGGCAGTTGTTCAATGCTTGCCGGAAGCTGGCGCCGTCAGGCTGTGGCTTTCAAGGCATTGTATATTGCCGCATTTCTTGGCCATCAGGCAGTTGTTCAATGCTTGCTGGAAGCCAGTGCTGACACAGATGAGGCGACCAAACACGGCTTGACACCCTTGCATATTGCTGCACAGCCGGGCCATGAGGCAGTTGTTCAGTGCTTGCTGGAAGCTGGTGCGGACAAAGAGAAGGCGACCAACTTCGGTGCCACAGCACTGTATATTGCTTCACAGCAAGGCCATCAGGGAGTGTGCAGTGCTTGCTGGAAGCCGGTGCTGACAAAGAAAAAACGATGCACAATGGCTCTGCGCCATTGTACATTGCTGCACAGCACAGCCATCCATCACTTGTTCAGTGCTTGCTTAAAGCTGGTGCTGAAAGAGAGAAGGCGAACAGCGACAGTGTGACACCCCTGTACATTGCTGCACAGCAGGGGCATCATGCAGTTGTTCTGTGCTTGCTGGAAGCCGGTGCCGACAAAGAGAAGGCGACCAACGATGGTTTCACACCATTGCACATTGCTGCACAGGAGGGCCATGAGGCAGTTGTCCAATGCTTGCTGGAAGCCGGTGCTGAGAAGAAGAATTGTTTCTTGCTGCACGTCTGGGCCATCAGGCAGTTGTTCAATGCTTGCTGGAAGCCACTGCTGACGCAGAAGAGGCGACCAATGATGGCAATACACCCTTGTATATTGCTGCACAGCAGGGCCATGGGGCAGTTTTAAACGATGGCTTGACACCACCCTTGCATATTGTGCATGTCGTTGAACCACGTGCTTATGCGGTCCGGCGCTGTATGTGGGATTTGTGGACAGCGTCGGTCTTTGAGTTTAAGGCTTTTCTTGGCTTTCCCTTTTCTGGGGTGTCTAGACTAAATACGAAACAGAATCAGAGTACAGTGGGCCTTTCCTTTCCTTAGGACCAAACGGGTCTATACATTGCAGCAGTGTGGCGAGAGCAACCACAGGTATACACTATGCAGTGCAGCTACTTGGAATCGGACTGGCTCACGTGTAGCCCAGAGCAAGCTTTCGCAATTGAAACTGCTAACACATTTACCGCATTCAGCATTTTGCCATGATGTGGGCCAACTTGCCTGGAAAAAAAAGGAGTTCGCCCATGGGAGGCTCCCGTATGTTCGGATGCATCGTAATCCAGAGGTCTTGAGCTCGGTTTGCCTGCCTTTGCACACTCAGGCATGCCTGCTGGTGTCGCGGCCCTAGACTGGTATCATGTCGTGTCCTTGAAACATCATAGGTGCTCCTAACAAAGTTTCACCGCGCATGTTAACCATGCACGATGCGATATATATATATATATGTATATATATTGAGAAGCACAATCTCAAGGCATACCACAAGCATGGCAATTGATGTCAATGGTCTCTTCTCCAGACTTCGTGTCCAAATTCTGCTTGTCTCACTGTTGGCTCATAGAACGTACTTAAGAAGCAACATCATTTTGGCATCATGTAGCTTTCAGCTGTCCCCAAACACCGGGCAATCCTGCGTTCCAGTGTCTTCATCAGACCAATATGTAAAGGGCTGGACATGACATAGCAACATGTGCAGTAGAGCATGCCAAAAGTATTCTGGAACAATAGGGTTGCAACAAAATGACAACTCGAGCAAACATGGTCTTGTGCGAGGAACTGCCCTCGTGTAAGGACATGAGCGGCTGCCAAAGTGTACTTCCTTTACTGCTTGCAATGAACAGTTTGCTACCCTCATGTAAGTGTGTGTGTGTGTGTGCGTGGTGGTTGTTTTAATAATCCTTTTGGGTTAGTTTGTTAAGGGAGTTCAGATGAAAAGCCATCAATTGTTGGGTCCTATTTTTGACGCACACCGTACAAATACTTGGTTGAAGCCACTCCGCTAGCTCACCGAGGCTACACCGATTTCGCTGCGCAGATGAAGCGCTGGATTTCCTGCTGGACACCGAGGAAGGCCAAACCGCAGTGGACCTTTGGGAGTTGTCGAATGATTTGCAGGGGTCTTTGCTTTGAGACATCAGTTTTCTTTTGGAGGTTCTCCTTTTTTGGGGCGGTTTTGAAAGGAAGCCAAAAGGAACAAACCATTTTGGGGGGTCCCCTATGTTGCGCCATAGCGTCCGGATTTTGGACATCGGGAGCAGTGTTCTTTGAGAGCTCGTTTGCGACCATCCAGCATTTGCGTCAGTCCTGTCTTTGTTGCTCTCAGACACGGGCCTCAGTTTGCCATGTTACACCATGTGACCACTTGATCAGCATTTGATTCCAGGTGATGGAGTCAGAGCGACCTCGCTAGGGTGAAGGTTAGCCAGAAGTGGTCCCAGACTAATTCAACGGCCAAAATCGCGTGTGATGTGCGACAAACCGCACACCCCAAAGCCATCAGCCTTCAATCCAGCATCTCTAAGCCAGACCTGGCAAGACGATTGGGGTGGATCGTAGGGTTTGGGTAGTACACACCCTACTCATCTTTGACAAGTTTGCCTGACTCGCGCCAATGATTGCCTGTGACTGCCAGGCATCTCGCTGTGCAAGTCGAACTGCCAAAAAGGGCGGCCGTTTGAATTTGGCCCTGAGTCGAAATGGGATGGGAGTGGATTGGTTCCTCTTGACGTTCGAGCCTCCGGCAATGAATGGGTGAGTCATTGGATTGAATGTACAAAAAATATATTTAAAAAAAAGGAAAAAAAACAGCTGAAAGGCGCGATGTCTCTTTTGTGGGAGTCGAGTTGAGTCGAGGTGAAATAATGTATTTTGGAGTCACCGTCAATGTGTCCGAATCATGTTGGCGGCCGTCATGCCCTGACGCGATGGAGTCTTGCGCTGCGCGATTCATCTCTGCGGAGTTGTGGATTCACGAGCCTTGGTTGATTGCATTCTCTTGCTGATGCGATAGGCAGGGAATGAACCTGGAGTTTCCCTTAAAGGAAACCACAGGGGATGGGTTGTAGGGGTCATCCTTCATTGTCTGCTGAGCACCAGCAAGTTCTTTCCGTCACCGAGCAGACAAATAACTATTGCCTAGGCCTAGGAAAGCAACAAATTTGCCGTTCTGACTCAGGGGCAGAGAATATGTTTGTTTTGTTGGATTATCACAGCTTGGGGCTGCCATGCTTACTCAGCACCAAGTGTTGCTTCGAGCATTGCGACATGGCGGAAACCTGGAAACTATGTCAATGTCAAACAATGTCAGACACATCGCAAATTGTTGCAGGTGGCTGACTCTTGTTGGCCATTTCGCAAAAACCAACCAGGACGCCGAGCCAGTTTGCTGTCTTAGCACCTTCCGGCCCCGCAGAGGCATGGCAGTTGCGAGGCGGGAAGCTTCTGCCTGGAATCCGAGGGAGTTGGTAGAGCTTGTCTCAAGATAGGGGATCCCAAAATGAATGGCTTTTGTTGGTGTCCCTTTTAACCAAGGGGAAACGTTGGTACCCTCGAAACAGCCTCCTCCATTGCCTTCCCCGTGAGATTAGATGATACCGATGTTCAGCACGGGTATCTCTCGATGTGAGGTGGGTGCACTTGGTTGCTCCTCAGCGATGTTTTGGTAAACAACGAGGAGCAAATGTCTATTGCATATACTTCTGCGCTTCTACTTGCATTAGATTGCCTCGTGACAATGGCTTGGAAAGCACAGCATGGACACATCAATTTACATTGGCTAGATAGTTGTCAGCACTAGGGACATACTTGAACTGTTTTGCCGGCTGGCTTGGTCTTTGCCTTGAGCTCGGGCGCAGAGAACTCTCAGATGCGGCCAGGCTTTATTTCACAGGGGCGGAAGTCACGCGACTTCACACGCTCAAGTTGCTTGGCGCTTCGCTTGGCTCGATAGCGGGGATTTGTCCTCACGAGACGAGAGCATGGCGGAGGTCACGCGTGAGCCAGAGGCGACTGCGGGGCCTGGGCCCGTTTCTTGAATCTGGTCGACCCAGACATGGCGGCCAAGCCCGAAGTTCATGAAATTTAGACCCTTCTCTGGAGTGGGAATTCAGAGAACGCAACATATGTGTCGATTTTGGGCCTGATGTTTCTGCTGTATAATCATGCGCTTGCATTGGGCGTGGTTTCTCTGTGTCAGCAGCAGGACATGACTGTGACATTAGGAGTGCAACATGTGGATCTCAAGCATGCGGCCCAGTCAGATAGGAAAACAAGGTTCCTAAGTGGCCCACATCAAAATCGGGCTTGCCAGGCGACTTGAACAAAGTTGATCTTGCCAACCAGGCAAGGCCCAAACCGGGTTCGCCTTTGGTTTGCTTTTTCCCAGGGCGTTTCTGGGGGATACGCTGCAGATTGCGGCGTTGCAGGCCCCAGGACGGCTGATCCTGCGGAACACCTTCATCGAGTTGGAGGCCTGGCAGTTTCTTAGGCCCATCAAAAGGCTGGGGCTGGGTTGCTTGTCATCCCCGTCCTGGTGCACCCTGGCCGTTTGCCTTGGTTTGACTGCACCAGAAGCCGGGGGCCCTGCGGGTCCTTTTGTTCAGACCCGAAGCTGGGCTGAACAAACGGGTCCGATTACTTACACCAAAGAGCAATGATGTGCGTGTAGCATCGCAGAACCCATTTGAGTGTGGGTCATAATTAAACCACAAGGGGGCAGCAGGCTTTAGTCCATGTTTCCATTTACCAGGGCAACCCATTTTGGGTACCTTTTTTTTGACCCACAGCCATGTGGGCATTCAAAATGAAACCACCAGTGACCTCAACGCACCCATTGCCAAACGCTCAGCGCTCCGCAGTCCGACGGCAATGGTGGCCTGGACTTCTCCCTGGGCCGCGCGAGGGCTTGCTCGGACGGGTGCCTCTTCGAGAGCTCCAACAACATGGAGGAGGAGACGGCGAAGGCGAATTCGATGGAAGTCTCTGAACATGCAAAAAGACGCGGCACCTGTTTGGTTTTTAAGGGGACACCAAGAGGAACCCAACTCTGGATTTGTTTTTAGAAACACCCCAAATCTCAATTGATTTGGACACGGGCGAGGACACCCCAGGACCTGCGTGGCTTTTTTGTTGCATTTGCTTTGCTTTTTGGTGGGCCTTCGGAGTAGGTTGGGGGTTGAAGGCAAACAGGGGCCGCCTTGGCAAACGATAGGTTTATCGCAGCCTCAAAGAAGACTTGTGACATCACACATGAAAGTCAACACAAATCATTCAGAGCTTTTGTGTTTGGTTTTGATACATGCAGTTCAGAGAACATTGGGAGGGAACAGAGTTGATGGTGCCACGCACCAATCATTGGTTGCATGTATGGTGTCCAAGTGTTGTTTTCGTTTGGTATCGAAATGGGATCCTCCAAAAAGATATGGCATGTTGGCGTTTGTCTTTGGCCTCAGATAGGTGTCGTGAGCTCCTTTGCATTGGCTTCCTGCGAACGCTATGAAAGGCAAGCTTGGACACCGGATCCAAATCATGTTCATCCGTCATGGCTGGTCATGCTGACACCATACTCTGACACTGGCACGCGCAACTGAATGTGGGCGCATGTGAGCCCAGCAACCCTAGAGGCCCAGCGTTGCAGGTGCATGTGCCAGAGCTGAACGTCCAGATTGAGCTCACCGGCGCGAGCTGCTTGAACACCCCGAGATCTGAACCTCGCCAAGAACGCGCGCTCCCAAAATTTTGTTGGGCCCAGCCGCCAGCCGGTGACCCCGAAAACCAAGAGGAGATGTTTGTCCAAGGCCCCCCCAAAGGGGTCCTTCGCAATCCGGAGCCTTGGGTTGGACATCAGTTCTAAGGGGCGTATTCATAACCAGATTCAGCGCAGCCTCGCCAGGGTGCTGGAACGATGCTTTCTCTGTCGCACAGCTGTTTTTCCCCATCTCGATGCGGCGGACTTGCTGCAAAACAGAAATTGTGCTTGGTGATTTGAACATGTTGTTTAATCCTGATAGCTCAGCTCCCGACTCCCCACCACTTCTTTTGAGCATGACAAGAATGACAGGTACCTCTTTCCTTAGCCATCCAAGAGCATGTGGCTTTATGGATTTGAATGCTTAGGCAAGTCTTAGGCACGGAGCCCTCAGAGCTTCCCAGAAGTCGTAGACGCCTTGTTGGATAGTATAGGTCCCCCAGTAGTGCCCTTTCTCACCCTTTAGTAGGGAGAGGGTTCCCCTAGGCCTACTAAAATAGACAGAAAAAAGCTGGTACCCTTACTCTAACCTCTCTACCGGAGGACCTAGACACAGTATAAGGTTGACTCAAATGGGCATCACTGCTTCTTTGTGGGTGGCGAGCGGGCCCTTATTCTGGCGACTCTGACCAACGTGCAAGCGCATGCCTAAGGACGAAGAAGACAGAAATGTGCAGTGCAAAGGCAGCCCAGTGTCCAAAGGACCCGCTTCATCGGCCTGGCCTCTCAGTGCAATGGAAGTGGTCGGGAGATGTTTGGACCTCGTGAAAGGCGGACCCACTTCCATTGCAAGCGTACGCATGCGTACGCATGCGTAGGGTGGGCCTCATGGCGAGGTAGTCCTGTCGTGGTATGCACCAGATTCAGAGTCTGGCAGATATGGCGTTGCCGGTTGGCGCAAACAGCTAGGGAGCAGGAATTGGAGCCTGCATAGGTGTAGGATCAAACGCGAGTGATGCAAGGAGCATACAAGAACTGTTCCACAAAATTCTGCAGTATAGGCCAGGGTTCAGTCAGGGTTCCAGTGTTTGGTTGGGCCAAAGGAGACTAAAACCCAGAGGCTCTTTTTTTTTTTTTGGAGAATTCAACCAGGCCTGATGTGTGCGTGTTTTTACATACGTATCTATATATATATATATGTATATATATATATATTGTAGTCTACATTGGGTTGTCATGTTTGGGGGCAAAGAGATGCCTTGGGCGATCCGATGCAGGAGCTCCGACCACGCGCATTGAGACCACTGCGCATGCCCAGCTTCAGCAGGCAAGGGTAGAAGGGCTTGCAATGTTCCAAACCTCTTTGAGTAGTTCTCAGCGTTGCTTTTGGGTGCGTCCAGGGAAAAAAATAGAAAAGATGTCGCTTCAATGGATCCAGCGGGTATGTGTCGTGTGTGTGTGCGTGTGGAATTTTCGCACCCCCGAAAATGGGGCCTGGCGTCCATTTGGCCGCTCTTCAAATCAAGCCACTAGTTCGCTCGAAAATAGTCAAACCCGGGTCAGGGTGGCCTCAAGATAGAGCACCCCTCCACATGGCAACAATGTTGAGGCCCCATGTTGAGGCAGGACTGGAATACCAGTTGTTCCATAGCGAAGGATCAACCCCTTACCTCACAAAAGGAACGCCCTGCGGCCGAACATAGAACCAAAGGTGGTTCTACAATGGAGATTCGTTCCTCTGCAAGTGAGCAGTTTTGGAAGGACCCCCTGTTACCTCTTGGGAAAAACAGTTGGGTACTGTGGGGAGTACTTGTCAATGCACCAGGGGCAACCTTGAGAAGCTCCCGAGTCCCCAGCCGGCCACGCCCGAACCTTTTCCAGGTCCCGTCAGAACTGATTTTCCACGAGTCCTTCAGTTTTTTTTCGGTGGGAATGAGCTTTTGAGCACCGGCCCAAGGATCCTTTTCCAGCCACGCCTGGAACCCGTCTTACAGTAGCTTTACAGTCCCCAAAACTTGTCTGCGTCACTTCTCACAGGGCATTCTTCCAACGGCACCAACCGTTGGCGTCCTGTTAAACCAAGCCCCAAGATTCCCCCCCGCGACGTTTGCTCAATTCACCCGGATCAGGGTTGCTCCAACCTCCAGATCCAAACCTCAAGGGCAAAATGTGCCAACCAAAATCCGGCATCTCTGTGCTTTTTCTTCACTTTTTTTGGGATGCCAACAGCAACATGGGAAACCAACGACCAGGAGGGGGCTCTAATGTTGAGAAACGTTGCAGTGACTCACAGGAAACGAACCACTTGGTCACCTGGAGGGGTCGGTGATCCCCGTGGCTCCCGTGACTCGCGTTTACCGTCAGGTCTTGCAGAAACCTGCCGTCACCTCGCGAGAGGAATTGCAACGCCTCTCGGAGGAGGTGGCCCAGCTACCCGGCGAGAACGCTTCGGTGAGAAGCGCCAAAGACTCCGCAAAGGGAAGTGTGCCATCGGCCCATGGGGGTTGGTAGTCATGTGCCATGGGGGTTCGTAGGGTTGTCAGGGAGGTCCTGGATGCTTTTATAGAAAGAATAGAGACAATGATAATTGATAATTATTTTGTTTTTGATGGGAACCGTGACCATGGGCATCGTGAGTCCTGACCGTGCCATACGTTGGTTTGCCTTTTTTGAGGGTACCATTTCCGGGTGTTTCAAAGAGAAGCGAAGATTTGAGAGGAAACCACACATTTGAAGCAGTGCCTCCATTTTAAGACACATGTATGGGGGATTGGTTCTTTGTTGGGCGAACACGCCCCCTTCCACGCACTACTTTGGGGGCGGGAAGGGTTCATTCAGGTACCGTATGTGTCTTTTTCGAGAGAACTCTTTGCAGGTTGTTGTAAAGGGAAGCTCCTGTATGTTTACTTTCAACAGCAAAAGCTGAATTATAGAATGGCTTTACAATATTGGCATTTAATTCACCTAGACTGAGGTATCGAGTCTCATCACTGGGACATGCAACTGGATGTTTGCGACACCTTTCTGAGGGTTGAAGTCTGACCCGGACAACATTGGTATGATGTGTAGCGGGACACCTCCTTACCAATGGTTTGTAGACGTACATCCGTGTAGATGCTGTCCAACAAGGGGGCTCTGACAAAAGCTTGTATATTATACTTGCATGTCAATGGAATATGTTTGGTGTTCCTTCAAAGTCATCCACATGTTGTAGTGTGTAGACGAATTGTCAGATCGTTGTTGATTCAGCCAGCGGGCTTACGTTCTAAGGCTGTGCTTGTATGCCGACCGTTTGACCTTCGTACCCTCCGTGCTTCCAAAAGCTTCAGGACAAAGTTGAAGCTTTTTCAACAGTGTTTCGGGAACCTGTGTAGAATCTGTGTGCCATTCGGCTTCTGAAGCCTTATGCGAAAATCATGTGCGTTTGTGGCTTCGCCCTCTCCCCTGCCACGCAACACCAGGCTGGCAAAGCAGAATTCGCTCTTGCGCAGCCAGATTGTCCACAAGGTGCGGGCCGCAGGGGCTGGCCATGTACAAATATGCGAAATACATCAGGGACCCAGGCAATCAAGCGCCATCTTTGACAGTGCAGGTGTCAGAGTCAATTCAAAGGCCAGTCAACATCATCAATACGCCACTCCTGCCTTTGTGGCTAGCGTTGATCTATTGCGTCTCCTCACTGTCCTCGACAGTCTTTGACAGGTTGCATTTCTTCACGCACAGAAAACAACAAGAAGCAAGAAAAAAAAATAAAAAAACAAAAAAAAAACGCAGGACTCTCGGTGAGTTGCACAGCTTTTCTGCAAAGTTCACTGAAGTCAGAACACCGCAAGTGAGGTAAACTTTTCATGCTGCCTGAAAAATGTCCGTACCCAGCAAACCCACTCCGCCCCGTAACTGTGGGAGGCGCCATTAGCACGTGATACAAAGCACGCTCCTGTTCTTCTGCCTATTGGGGGGGGGTTCTCAAAAAGGCGGGTCCCCTTTTGGATGCTTTGAAAGGGGGAACAAAACGAAGCTGGCCATCTCAGGATCTCCGATTTGGAAATGCACCCGTGTAAACCTGTGAGCCTGGAAGCAACAGGCTTACTTTGGAGAACTCAACCATGCATCTAGCTCTACACGGCCTGCGTGCCGGCTTCCAACCACGCCACATCGCCAATGTGCCACGCACGGATGTCGCGCCAAGATGTTTGGACTCTTGCAAATCCGCTCTTCTTTGCTTTGGGTTTCCCTTTGGACACCGTTCCACGAGGGGTAGCCGCTTGGTGATTGAAGCCCCCGATGTCTCTCATTAGGAGAGCACGCAGCACGGCTACGAGGCGCCAGAGGCAGGGAGTCTGACAGGTTTGGGCTCATGACTTGGCGAGTCAATGTAGCATGCGGACGAACCCACATTGGACATTTGTTGTTTGATGGGCTTCTGTTGGCACGCAGGACATGTTTCCAACTCTCGTTTGGATGCGGGAGCAACGCCAACTGTGGACTCATCCGCAATTGCTCGAGGGTGGACTGTTGCTTGCTTTCAGGGCCACCACGTCGAACACGAAGCAAAGGGGGGTCACCTTGTCCCTCGAATAAAGTCAATGAGCAACTGGGTCTGTAGTTGGGCCGGAAGCTCTCCGCTTGGAGGCTGTCCCGTGGATGACGTATGCTCCAGGCTGGGATCCGGGATTGAGGGGCCCCCAATTGAGAGCCAGCGTGCACAGTGACGTGCTTGGCAAGGCCCTTTCTCTGAAATCCTGTGTCATGCTTGTCCTTGAGGGTTACGCCTTGGGTTCACTACCAAGGACTATTTCCTGTAGGACTGTAGGGTCAGGTTTCCAGGTTGTTCTGGCGCTTGCAAGACGTCCCTCACGCGACGGCCTGGAAAGGTGGTGGTTTTTGGTGCGACCTCAGCGCCATTCATACGGGATCTGTTGCTGGGGGAGTCTCATTCAGCCACAGCGGCCGTATCGGTGCTGAATTTGGACATAGAGCCCACTGTTCAAACACCCAAACGGAGTGCAAATACGAGCCTGCACCATGATTGGGTTCGAAGCTTGGAAGATCTACTTTCTGCCCACAACCCTTTGGTCCCTGGCAAGCATCAAAGGGAACAGCGCGCTTTTGCCCATGACGTTGTGTGCGGCCCCTGCCAGGCTCCGAATTTGTTTGCGCCCTGGCACGCAGATGTACAGGATGTCAGTCCTACGAAGTTCCCAGGAAGGAAGCCAATCCTTGTGGCGTTGAAGAAGCGCCATCAAGAGCAAAGTACGCTACACAGGGACTTCTCTTTCGGGGTATAGCCTTGTTTCTTTGGCATGGTAGCGTGCCCTGAGCTAGCCGGCAAGTGCCAAGCAGCCATTGGCTGAGGCGTGCAAGGCTACGGGCAGGCGGGAGATTTTGGTGCACCTTGTGCCCATGTTCAGGGATGCATGATGTAATTAGTACTGAAGAAGCAGCACAAGAGATGTAGGTTTCCTGTATTCACATATCCTAAAGCCTGCCAAATTCTGGTTGCGGGGGCTGTATAAATATATGAAACACTGTTGGCTTGATGGGCCTTGAACCGCTTAAACACAGCACCCTCTGATTACATTAGCTCTCATGACGGCCGCCAGATCATTCGCTGATGCTTCCAGAGCAGGGCTGAGTACCACGTTCCCCTCGTGTGTTTGTTCTTGCTCACGGTTGGACGTGTGAGGCAGCCGGGAAGCAAGAGACGTTTCCTTGAAGTGAGTTGATCTTGCTTGAGCCAAGTCTGGACTGGCGTGCCAAGGGCTTGCCCTTGGTTTCCCTTCAAAGGGGGGGCTTTCTTTGCCACAAACACGAATCCCTGGTCTCATTTTGGCGGCTGGCTTCTTTCCAGTGCGTCAGGACGTCACAGAGCCCAGGGACGGGGGCTACGCGCGGCTCGGAGAAGTCACATCCCTCCAATTGGCTGGGTCAAGCAGCTGGGTCAATCAGCTGAACCAAGGTTTGGTGACAGGCTGTATCTTTGCCCTCCTAGACATGATCTGGTAGAAATATTGAGACCCTGGGTTTGGGGTTCAATGTTGACCAAGCCAGAGACCTCTTCTGGCGGGGAACACTCCATAGTTCAGGTTCGTCGAGTACGTTCCTGCGGATGAATCTGAAATGGACATGTCCCCCATAGCTTGTGACCATTAGCTTGTCACGTTCATGGCTTCTTATCTTAATATTGGCCTGCTTTTGAACCAACCAACCAACCAACCAACCAACCAACCAACCAACCAACCAACCGACCCACCAACCAACCAACCAACCAACCAACCCACCGACCGACCAACCAACCCACCGACCAACCAACCGACCAACCAACCAACCAACCAACCCACCGACCGACCAACCAACCAACCAACCAACCACAGGTTTCTGGAGCCCTTCAGACGGCCAGCTTGTCCGCTGAGGACCTGGGAGTGTGGAGACTGGACCACGCAGAGTACGGCAGCGGACATCGGCACCTCTGTGATGCTGCGGAACCTGCCGATCTTTGGCGAAGAGGGGAAAAGGGCTGGACCCCCAAGTGGAAAATATTCACAAATGCTGCACATAGCTTTCACCTTCCCTCCCCGTTTCGTTAGCCTGCAAGGAACATGTGTGCGTGTGCGTGTGCCTCAGGCTTTGGAGGATACCGTAATGCATCGTAGTGCCATTTTCGGCAGCTGCTGCAAACTGGAACGAAGGGAGGACTCCTATTTGTTCGATTCTCGCATGAGACAAACCTTGCCTCAGGAACAACTACACTCGCTCCAAGCTCTTGGAGATGCTAGACAACGAGGGCTTCGCTGGAAAGTACAACTTTGTGCGGCTCAGCGAACGTGTGTTTCATGTTCTGCCGGGGGCAAACCGGGTTTTGCACTGGTTTGTTATTCTGCAGGTGTGCTGTTTTATTGTTAGTTCTGTGTGTGTTGCGTGTGTGTTTGTTGTTGTTAGACTCACAATCAGGAACAGCTTCGGTTAGGGTCTCACTCTCCCGATTTTTAACAGCAACATGTGAGGGGCTGTCAGCCAAAGATCTTCTTGCGGAATATATGTTGGACATGCCACCTTTAAAGGCCATAAAACAGGCCTTCAAAAGGAACTCTGGCCGCATGCTTTTGGAACCTTAGGGAGTGAAGAGATGCGATATCATGCGATCTTTGTGTTGACCGAGGCTACGTCAGACAATGGTCGCACCCTTGTGAGAGGTTTGCGACCAGTTGAGACCTGTCCAGGGACGTTTGTCCCAGAGCCGTTCAAAAGTCACATTACATGTTTACTACTTGACCGTGCCACGTGGATAAGCTGGGGCTACGGGCAGCCGCACAGGCGGCTTCATTGCCAGGTGTTTCAAAGCTCCACTGACTTTGCTCTTCTTCTCTCGAACCGTCAGTCCCCACGGGCCCTTGACTCGTGACTCATTGTCCTTTCCGTTCCGATTTAGGCCGATTCAAGCGATTCTTTCACGAGGCACCACCAGCCACTAGCCTCAGCTACAGGTTTCCACACCCTCTCAGCACCTCTTGGCTAATTACTTTGTGAGTGTGGTGTTTCCTCGTACTGTTGTAGGCTGCTCCGCACGCTCTTTGCAAGCTTCTAGCAATGCATGTGCACTTCAGTCAGATGCATTCAGTTCTCAGAGGTTTTGTGGACCGGGGGGAAACATAAGTCGCAACCTAGGCAAGGGCACTGGCCTTCTGCTTCGACCGGCAAGCCATGAATAACGGGGTCGCATGACGGAAGTCCAGGAGCCTTGCACTGAGGTACTTGCCCATCGATTTTCAGACCGAGGCGCTGCAGGGCCACCGGGGGCCAAGGGCTTTAGGGAAAATTCATGCGGGGGGGTGTTGTGCCGCGGAGAGCTTCTGCGCGCGCATGGCTGAGTGTTTGTTTGTATGTGGCGCCTCCTCCTTCGGCCCTTCGGCGCTTGTGCAATCTTGCTCACAGGAAGCCTAAACAGAGAAGGAACTCACTTGCCCAAAGCCGACCTTTTGACCTTTTGGTTTTCCCATTTTGGTCCATTTTTAGTAAAGGTCCCAAAAGGTTAACCTTTTATTTCCAGGTCCTTTGGGCAAGTGAGGGAAAGCAAAGAAGCAGCGGCCATGTGTTTCACGTGGCTCAGGCTTCCTTGGGCTACGCCTTCGTGAATCTCGTGGATAGTTTCCACGTGCCAAAGCTCCAGGAGCGATTGACTGGCGTCTCGGCGCAAAGATCACGTAGGGCAAAACCTGCCAAAGAGAGAGAGAGAGAGAGAGAGAGAGAGAGAAACAAAGCGAGCAGCGAGAGAGAGGGAGGGAGGGAGGGAGGGAGGGAGGGAGGGAGGGAGGGAGGGAGGGAGGGAGATGAAAAAAGGGAATGGGTTGGGCATATGTTCGGCTCTGAGAAGGTGGCAATCCACCAATCCACCTTCCGATCTGCATTTACAGCAGAATTGCGAGCCAAACATGTTTTCCACTTGCTTTCAGGTTTTGAGAAGGTTTGGGGGAGCTCCCGGATTTGCCCGCCGAAGCGATTTCGGCTTCGGCGCTTCCGGCTGGATCTCGACATTCGCACCATACAGATGCATGCAGATATGCAGCTGAAAGCCCAAGTTGCCATGCAGATGCATGAGGTGAATGCGTTGCCACCACATTGGCCATTGGAGACAATATCCAGACTAAGTGCCGTGCTATCCGTGCCATTTTGTTCCCTAGACAAGGTCTTGATGGCTGCATCCCATGTATTTCGAAGTGCCCCTTTGGTGATCCCTCCAATTTAACTAGGCACTCCTGGATATGTGTCAAACGTAGGGAGCCCTTTACATTATCATCATTCCACGCTGAGTTCCTTTTTAGGGCCCGCGGAGGGCGTCCCTCGTTTTTGCCATACTCTCATTTCTTCCAGCTTCGCCCGCTCTCAGCTGAGGCTTCAAGAAGTGGAGAGTGCCAAGCAAGAAGGTCTGTGAGGCCATGGTGTTGAGGGTTTTCCAGGAAAACATGTCCTTTGGGGCCAAGTCAACTGAGGTTTATTTTGCTGATTATGCACAAAGACAAAGAATAAGGAATCCTTTTCGAAGGTCTGATTTACGCATCTGTTGTTTCAGCAACCTTCCTTTTTTTTTCTGGCAAGATGAAGGCTCCTGCAGGTTTGGTTGATTCACAGGTCTGCACGTGTATGATTGCATGATTGCCAGGTGTTTTGCTTTGAAGAGTGGCTGTCCAGAAGCATGGGCACATGTTTAGACCTATGTTATTTGTGGTCCTCGAAAACAATGCCTCGTTTCAGCTTTGTTTGTTCTCATCTTGAGATTGCTCTGAATCTCATGAGTATTGCACAGCAAAGGGAACCCTCAAGAAACACCACGGACCCGGCTGGATCCCTCCGCCTGAGAGGTGCGACTCTGTGGGCCCTGGCCAGACCTCGAGGCGCACATCGAGCGATATCGGAACAGCTCGGCCGGGGTCCCCAGATCGAGACTTCGAGGTGCTCAGGGCGTGTGTGTCAGGGCTGGTTCCCGCCGAAGGTGCCGCACAACAACCAGAATCCCAAAATGAGCGAGAGAGAGCGGTACGCCATACAGCCTGTAGTCGCGCAAGTGATGAGTAGCAGCGTTTGTTTGCAAATTGTTTGCGTTTAGTCAAGATTTAATGGACTTGGATTCGTTTTATTTTTGAAGTAGAGGTTTAAATAGGAATTATTGGCGAAGTATGATTTGTTTAGATAGGATTACATCAGAATCTAGATGGAAGTGACCAACGAAAGGCAAGCTGGTTGTTTCTTCTAGTTTGCCTCTCCCTTAAACGGAGCGGACAAAAATGAAACCCAAAGAAAAACAATGTCAGTTCTAGAGGTTTGCAAGGTTAAAATTGCAAGATTTACATTGCAAGGCATGCAAGGCTTTTAAATGTCAAATGTTGCTTAGAATTCAACCGGAACTATGAATTAATTATGTTGAATTAGGTTTTAGCTTGGAATAGTTTCCATTTATGATTTGGATTAGAAATCAATTAGGAGTTTTATAAATAGGATAAACAAATCAAACACGATTGTCCTGTCCAAACATGATTTCAAGTAGAATGTCATAGAACTCTTAGTTGAATTATATGGTAAACAGGAATCGTTTCCAACTATATAGAGCGTTCTGCTAGAATTTAACTTTAGCAGGGTGATTGAATCTAATTCTTAAGTTGCATTTGTTTTAACCAGGAATCCCTGTCCAAGTAGGATTTTGCTTAATCAGAATTCAGATAGAACCTGGTAAGGAAGTATAATTCAATTACAATTGGAATATAATCTTGTCAGGAAAGACAACTTGGTTGTTTCTTCTAGTCAATGTACCTAGAATCCTTATTTTGAATTAGACTTTGAACAAGAATTTCTTTCTGAATTATAATTTACCCTCACACAGAAGGTCCCCTTGGCCAGGCATTTCTCCCTAGAGATGTCTTTTCGTCGTTGTTGTTTCTGTTTGCCATGGGGCCTGTGGTGGCGGGGCAAGCACACAACCCTTTCTGCTGTTTGCAGAGTTGCTGTAAGAGCATAAACCGACACAAGAGCGGACCACTTGTGATTCGCACACTTACACATGGCGTACCCTTCTGTTTCGGGTTTCGCCTCTCTCATAGGGATCGCAGGGCTGGAAGGCTCGAGCCATTGAAGCTATTGAAGGATTGTCCCTAATTAGTGTTTGTTTCCTTTCTTTTTTTTTGAGCCACAAGGAGGAGTTGGTCTTTGATGCCTTTCTTTAATTTCATAGGCCTAGCCCATTTGTGTTCTCGGACCAGTCCCCGGAGTTTGTTTTGGATCGCAGACGGCTGCGAGAAAAGGGTTCCCGTGCCTGGGATGTTTTTTGTTTTTTTTGTTTATGCTTACTCAATTACAGGGGCCCGGTGTTTTTTAATTGTTTAGGGTTGGTTCCGACATCCCGACACTCCCGACAGCCCGACCCGGAAACCCGGAGCTTTCAAGGGTGCAAAGGTTCAAAGGTACAACAGTCCACACATACAAGAATCCAAGGTTGCCAGGGTCCAAGGATACAAGGGTCCAAGGATACAAGGTTGTTTAGGGTTGGTTCAGACATCCCGACACTCCCGACAGCCCGACCCGGAAACCCGGAGCTTTCAAGGGTGCAAAGGTTCAAAGGTACAACAGTCCACACATACAAGAATCCAAGGTTGCCAGGGTCCAAGGATACAAGGGTCCAAGGATACAAGGTTGTTTAGGGTTGGTTCAGACATCCCGACACTCCCGACAGCCCGACCCGGAAACCCGGAGCTTTCAAGGGCGCAAAGGTTCAAAGGTACAACAGTCCACACATACAAGAATCCAAGGTTGCCAGGGTCCAAGGATACAAGGGTCCAAGGATACAAGGTTGTTTAGGGTTGGTTCAGACATCCCGACACTCCCGACAGCCCGACCCGGAAACCCGGAGCTTTCAAGGGTGCAAAGGTTCGTACAAGAGTCCACACATACAAGAATCCAAGGTTGCCAGGGTCCAAGGATACAAGGGTCCAAGGATACAAGGTTGTTTACAGACATCCCGACACTTTTTCAAGGGCGCAAAGGTTCAAAGGGACAAGAATCCAAGGTTGCCAGGGTCCAAGGATACAAGGGTCCAAGGATACAAGGTTGTTTGGTCCCGACATCCCGACACTCACGACAGCCTGACCCGGCAACCCGGAGCTTTCAAGGGCGCAAAGGTTCAAAGGTACAACAGTCCACACATACAAGAATCCAAGGTTGCCAGGGTCCAAGGATACAAGGGTCCAAGGATACAAGGTTGTTTGGTCCCGACATCCCGACACTCACGACAGCCTGACCCGGCAACCCGGAGCTTTCAAGGGTGGTACAAGAGTCCACACATACAAGAATCCAAGGTTGCCAGGGTCCAAGGATACAAGGGTCCAAGGATACAAGGTTGTTTAGGGTTGGTTCAGACATCCCGACACTCCCGACAGCCCGACCCGGAAACCCGGAGCTTTCAAGGGTCCAAAGGTTCAAAGGTACAAGAGTCCACACATACAAGAATCCAAGGTTGCCAGGGTCCAAGGATACAAGGGTCCAAGGATACAAGGTTGTTTGGTCCCGACATCCCGACACTCCCGACAGCCTGACCCGGCAACCCGGAGCTTTCAAGGGTGCAAAGGTTCAAAGGCACAAGAGTCCACAAATGCAAGCATCCAAGGTTGCCAGGGTCCAAGGATACAAGGGTCCAAGGATACAAGGTTGCTTAGGGTTGGTTCAGACATCCCGACACTCCCGACAGCCCGACCCGGAAACCCGGAGCTTTCAAGGGTCCAAAGATTCAAAGGTACAACAGTCCACAAATGCAAGAGTCCAAGGTTGCCAGGGTCCAAGGATACAAGGGTCCAAGGATACAAGGTTGTTTAGGGTGGGTTCCGACATCCCGACACTCCCGACAGCCCGATCCGGAAACCCGGAGCTTTCCAGGGTCCAAAGGTTCGAAGGTACAAGAGTACACACCTACAAGAATCCAAGGTTGCCAGGGTCCAAGGATACAAGGGTCCAAGGATACAAGGTTGTTTTGGGTTGGTTCCGACATTCCGACACTCCCGACAGCCCGACCCGGAAACCCGGAGCTTTCAAGGGTCCAAAGGTTCGAAGGTACAAGAGTCCACACATGCAAGAATCCAAGGTTGCCAGGGTCCAAGTATACAAGGTTCCAAGGATACAAGGTTGTTTCGGGTTGGTTCCCGGAGCTTTCAAGGGTCCAAAGGTTCAAAGGTACAAGAGTCCACACATACAAGAATCCAAGGTTGTCAGGGTCCAAGGATACAAGGGTCCAAGGATACAAGGTGGGTAAGGGTTGGTTCCGACATCCCGACACTCCCGACAGCCCAACCCGGAAACCCGGAGCTTTCAAGGGTCCAAAGGTTCAAAGGTACAAGAATCCACACATGCAAGAATCCAAGGTTGCCAGGGTCCAAGGATACAAGGTTCCAAGGGTACAAGGTTGTTTAGGGTTGGTTCCGGCATCCCGACACTCCCGACAGCCCGACCCGGAAACTGGGAGCTTTCAAGAGTGCAAAGGTTCAAAGGTACAAGAGTCCCCACAGGCAATAATCCAAGGTTGCCAGGGTCCAAGGATACAAGGGTCCAAGGATACAAGGATGAATGGCCTTCTCTTGATCCTTCCAAAGAAGCACGCGTGTCATCCGCTCAAATGTCAAGGGGATACCGGAAACCAGATGTTGTCCTGTATGGCCCTACCTACCAAAACTTGGATGAAAGAAGCCAATCGACCTCCGGGCTTCCACAGAGCTGTTTGAGACACTTCTGGTTTCCATAGCGCCTTGTGGTTTGTATTCACAGGAAACAACAAGGAAGCCAACTATCTCGAGGCGTTCCCCGATTTTGTCACACAGACATTTTGCACGTCTGGGGAGGGATCGCCTGGCATTTTCGTTGACGCCTTTTCGTTCCACGCAAAAAAAACTGGGAGTGTTGCCTGTACCTCACACAGACCTTTGTACCCTTGACCCTTGTACATTTGGACCTTCGCCTTGGGCTCCTGAGCCCTCGAACCCTTGTTGGAAAGTTTGAATGCCTCTTCCTCTGAGGACGCTTTATAGGCCGGTGCCTGGCTTTTGCGAAAACTCGGAGTACTGGATTTTTCTATGTGTTACTTTTGGCGCTCTTGGGCCCTCTGCTGCCTGCCGGGGGCTTGGATGCTCTCAGTACTCCTGGAACCTAGCAATGCCGAAAAGAAGGGTCTAGGAAGTATAGTGATTCACACAGTCCGAAGGATTCGAAGGCTCAAGGATGAAGGAGTTCGAAGGACTACGGGGCCGGTTCTTGTCTCAAAGGTCCAAAGGTCCAAAGAGCCCCCGGGTTGGAAGTCCGGTGCCTTTCTCAAAGGTCCAAAGATCCCCCCCCACGTGCAAGGGCCAACCCTAAGCAATTATCCTGTGGAGCCAACCCCTAAACAATTAAAAAACACCGCCGCCCAATTACAGGGGCGCCGTTTTTTAGCCATTGCTTGCCCATGTCATACTTAACATGTTGCCTTAACAAACTGAGAGAAGAATTGTTAAATCCAAAAGCTGTATATCCAGCATCACTTTTCCGGACCCCATCCTTGGTTGGGTTTCCTCAGGTTCCCCGCCGCACCCTTCCCTCTTCTCCTCCAGCTTCTGGTACAGCTCAAATACAACTTCCCCCAAAAAAGGCAATGTCCAAATAACCCGGACGAAGTCTCCATATTTTTAGACCTTAAATCTCAGTGAGTCATTTGTCCCTGGACGTTCAACCTATAGAAGCGCAACTCAGTTGGCGCTGGTTTATGTATGACCCGGTTAAAAAACTAGTTACCCGGGGTGAGAATCGTTTCGAGGTCATGCACCACACCGTGCCGGAAGAGTTCAAGCCCGCGCTCTTCGAGAATGGCAAGCGGGTCGCCTTTCCGAAGCCCTCCAAGGCACAAAAGAAGAGGTCGACTTCAATGTTGATCCATTTGCGGAATCCGTTGTGAGGGTCTGACAATATATAGTTCTATATATGTATATGTTTTTTGTGTACTACATATATGTATATACATATTTGTGATTTAGCCGGCCGGCTTTGCATTTCCGGGCTCATCATTCCCATTGTTTGGTCACTGTCCTGGAAGCTTCTATTATCATGGTGTGGCATGCAACAAAACAAAGGCACGACAGAAACAAACCAAACAGCATGCTCCATTGGTAGGTCGCAGCATGCTCCATTGGTATGTCGATGGCTCCGTTCGCTGCAAATTGGCGACCAACCAACTGTCTCATCAAACCTCTTCATAACATAGAGCCGCGTGCTGCTGCGATGCAACGGACTAGTCTCTTGCCAAGCTCTAACTCTTGGACCTTATGAACCCTTCTACTGCTTTTCTTCCAATCAAACAAGGCGGCCCCGGGTTTAACTCCCATCAGAGCCAGCAAATCTTCATTTGGCATGGGAATCGAGCTGTGTTACCCTTTGTTCTAGTTTCTCCCTGGGCTTTCTCCCAGTGTTTCTCCCGTATGTTTGGTAGGTTCCGGTGTGTGAAGCTTTGGCGCTAGGTGCCGCGACCGCCGCAGATCCGACGGGCAGCGGGGCCTGTGGAGGCGTGGGGATCGATGGTCCAATGGTTTGGGCGGAGCCGGGATTTGGATTGGTCCGGCAGGTGTTCCCGGGGGGTGGTTCCCTTTTACTCTAAAAAGCCCAGGGCTTCAAATTCAAGCCACAAAGCATGAACTGGTGACCTGACACGGTGGGTTGACGGGGGAACTGGGGTACTCAAAACTGTGCCTAGGGCTAACTCATAGGCTCACTTCCAGGTCATCTAAGCAGTTTTATGCACCTGCTCCATCTCAAGTCAGGGAAAGCCGTCTCCTGTAAGGTACCGGCTGCGCACCCACTGGCATCCAATTTTTGGCCATGTGTCAGCATCGGGGCCTCTGTTGAAGGGAAACTATCAGGACATCTGCGGCGCGTTCCAACATGGTAAACTATGCATCTTCTTATCGTTTCGCTTCAAGGGCGTCACACAAGGCTTCAAAGAAAGCGCCAGTTGCAAGGGCTGAGTGTTTGACTGGATCTTCCGATGGCTATCAGGGGCACGCAGTTCTACCTGTCACGTTTATCCTCACTGTGGTTTGTAGAATTAAGTCCAAGACTTGAGCATTTGCTGTTAATGGTCGTCGGGGATACCGCATTAAGCAGCGACGCCATTTTCAATTGCGAATGAAATATGACAAGCCGAACTCCGCACCACGTTCAGGGGCTTCGGATTCTAAGAAACATTAATCGTCTCCCCGTAATAATAAACACGGATCCCCCTATTGACAAATACTGTCTATAGGGGACATATGGCAATTAGGGGGGGTCAGATGGGCTCTCCTCAAACGCAAATGCTCCTCGCTTGATCTCGCTTGAAACAGGCCAACAATTGAGCTATTCACGTGGCTGTAGCACACACTTTGAAAGGGAGCGACTCTCTGTTTTTGTTTGGTTTCGGTCAGCGCAGATTAGTGAGAGAGGTAGCAGGCAGGAGAACCCTGAACAGACTCGAGATTCTTGCTTGCTCAGTTGGTTTTATTCCCCCCTTTTAAGGCTGGGGCTGTTTTGGGCGAGAAATCGGACAGTTTCGTATTGGTGTAGAATTTGGCTAGAAATACACCCCCCCCCCAAAAAAAAAACAACAACAACAACAACAACAACAACAACAACCAACAGCAACAGCAACAGCAACAGCAACAGCAACAGCAACAGCAACAGCAACAGCAACAGCAACAGCAACAGCAACAGCAACAACAGGAACAGCAACAGCAACAGCAACAGCAACAGCAACAGCAACAGCAACAGCAACAGCAACAGCAACAGCAACAGCAACAGCAACAGCAACAGCAACAGCAACAACAGCAACAGCAACAGCAACAGCAACAGCAACAGCAACAGCAACAGCAACAGCAACAGCAACAGCAACAGCAACAGCAACAGCAACAGCAACAGCAACAGCAACAGCAACAGCAACAGCAACAGCAACAGCAACAGCAACAGCAACAGCAACAGCAACAGCAACAGCAACAGCAACAGCAACAGCAACAGCAACAGCAACAGCAACAGCAACAACAACAACCACCACCACCACCACCACCACCACCAACAACGACGACGACGACGACGACGACGACGACAACAACCACAACAACAACGACAACAACAACAACAACAACAACAACAACAACAACAACAACAACAACAACAACAACGACAACAACGACAACAACGATAACAACGATAACAACGACAACAACGACAACAACGACAACAACGACAACAACGACAACAACGACAACAACAACAACAACAACAACAACAACAACAACAACAACAACAACAACAACAACAACAACAACAACAACAACAACAACAACAACAACAACAACAACAACAACAACAACAACAACAACAACAACAACAACAACACACAAACCATTTAGAAAGCAACTGGTTTCCTTTTGGTTTTTAGGGTGCCCTCAAAACAGGGCTTTACGTCAATCACTCGGGACCCATATATATATATATACATATATTAACTTATGTATGTATAAAATATAATTATATAATATAGAGATACGTCAGCAAGTTTCCCACCCCGCGCCGCTCAGTCTGGAGATGCTTTGGCGCCTGGCCTCATTTGCCGTTAGTATTGCGGCGCTGGAGGCCTGGTCGGGTGGTTCTATCGCTCGTGTGTTCCTGGTCGAGGTATATACGCCAAAACTTGCTGGTGCCCAGGGAATGAGGGAATGTACCCAGGGGCCCCCCTAAAGGAAACCAGCAAAACAAGGACCGTGGCGCGCGCACGCAAGACGAAGACTCGCCCGAAAAGGGAGGGCATGATTTGTCTAGCCTGCCATAACAGCAGCTTCTCAATTTTTGAGTCAAATGGCTCGTGCTTTGCAACCCTTCGACAGAAGGCACAAAAGGAAGCAGTCCCAAGCATCCCTTTCGATCCATGCATGAACTTGTGGAGCTACATTCGCAGCAGGGTTCTCCAGAGATCCTAGTGGAAGAACTCCTCTAGCACAAAGCGAAGCCAAACTACCCTTCGCCAAGCCTGGCGAACCAAGTCGATTTGGAGCCGCTGTTTCTCAGAATGCAAATTACATTTTGGAAGCTCCAGCTCGAAGGTCGCAACTTGCTGTGTGCGTGCGTGTGCATGTGTGCGTGTGTGTGCGCGTGTTAAAAAATGCTCCGGCTGGTGCATTTTGCTGGCTGCCCATAGAGAAGAAATTCTCAGAGGGTTCGCCGGGCACTTGCGAACGCCACAGTGAGGGCGCTTCGAGGCTTGCAATCCCTGCAGAGAGTTCATCAGGCACTGCACGCACGCGCAAAACGTGGAGACCGATTGGGGGCTGAAAGTAGAATGAATGTCACAGTCATATCGATGTCTTCTTATGTTCTCTTTCTTCAGCATGGAATTGGCCGGCCTCCAGCTTCCGGCCGAGCCATCTGGCCCCCCGGCCCTCCGGCCATCCTCCAGCCATCCGCCCACAAAAAATGCTTCACCCTAAACCTGGCAAACACACGCGCAGTTGATCTCCAGCAGAATTCACAGTGAATTGCCCTACCAGAGTTTTGAGAGCATCGCTTCGGCGAGTTGACGACTGTTAGTTTTAGACGCGTATCAGTGATTTTCTGGCATTTAGTGCGGAGGAAGCTACACCCCTTATTTCCCAGTGCCGGAATACTGGATCGGTTTGTTTCTTGAAGTCAAGTTTTTAGGATTGTCCGTTCAGCAACGCGAAGACTAACAACGATTGCGCGTGTTCACACGAACAAAATGTTGAAAGACGACAGGGTGGCAGCCTTCCAGAAGTGTTTGTGCACATGTGCACCGTTTCAAGAGGGCCGTTAACCCTTCTTGCCATGGTTGGATGATACAGTTCTTGGGGGCCTTGTTCATGTTGGTTTCAAAGCTTGGGCCTTTTGCAGCTTCACTCGCCGTGAGCAATTTCCTTGCCAGGCCTGTGCTTGGAGAGCTGGCCCTCAAATCGATTGATTCAGAGCCTTGCCTTGCGGGCGAAGCGCTCCTTGAATTCAGTCGCAGCTGTGCCCTTGGGCAAAAGGCCAGAGGAGAACTCATGGCTCAAAAGCCACGAGATTGGGGCTCTTGGCTATTGACCTTTTACCGGAGGGTAGGCATGTCGTCATGGACAAGCCAGACAGCTGGACAAGTCTCTTCCATTTGCTGATGAGGACCCTTGTCCCCACATCTGCCGAAGTGGGCAACTAAGCGCTTTTCCTGGTGACATTGAATGCATGCCAAAGCCGGGTTGGACGAATCCGCCAGAAAACGCAGTTTAGCCGCATTGGATTTCCAGCACAAGGTCGTTTTGGATTACCATTCCAGCATCAATAAATGTAAGCCGCTGCATGGTTGACATGGGGCACAGTCGCAGGGGGCTGCGGCAAGCACCCTGTACCCTGTATGGTGGGTATACAGCCGCAAACAGACCGAGGCCTGTACAGAGTGCGGATAACCTCCGTGGCCCAACAGCCAGAGGCCTCAGAAGAGATGACGGGGTCGGAAGCACCTCAAGCGGCCATGGCTCGCGCTCGTGGTGTGCAATCGCTGCGGTTTCAAGGATATTTTTCAGTGGCCGCCAGTGGCCTCTTTTTTCTGCTGCGTGAACTAACGGGATCGAAGCCATGGGACTCATTTCGTCCTCCTGCTCTCATCTCGAGTTTTGCGCTGCAGTTGCTGGACAGGGTTGGCCTGAAGGCTTCAATCGGGAACACAACGTTCAGACTTGTTTCGTTGAGAAAAAAAAAAGCATGCATGTTGCCCAGCCCTGTCAAGGGGCCCTGGCATTTTCAAGGTCGCGCATGGTTTCAAGGGTTGATTCCCTGACTGGAGGTCAGGGCTATCGGGATGCTATCTTCCAGAATTTGCTCGGTCCTCATACTACCGACACGAGATTGGATGAGATAGTTGAAACAACCTTATCATGGTTGGCTTGACCATCCTGTGAGTTGGGCATTTCGCGTGGAGACGAGGACTTTGAGCGTGGTTCAGCGCCCACGTGCAAGAAAATCTGGCCTAGCGACTTCCTCGCTGCAGAGCAACCAAATGTTCATGTGCACAACTCAGTCAAAGCCGTGTCCGGCCGCTGAACTGCCTGTTGATCTCATAGTTGAGTCACAGTTTTGAAATTCAGATCTTAGCTTGCGTGGACCATAATTAGTATTACAGTATGGCTTGTTTATAACCAGGGGCGCAGTCAAAATTGATTCAATCCCACAAGGATACCCTCCAAAGCGACGCATCCACGTTAAGAGTTGTTTTGCTTTCACAACTTTCTCTCACTAAGTTGCTCAAGACATGGGCGCTTCCCAACACCGGAGTCACCCCTCGGTATGGCGGAGTACCACTTTGATGGTGACGTGAATCTAATTAATGAGCACATCCCCTCTTGTAAGTTGAATGCCAAGTTGCACCATGTATGGATCAATGGCTTTGGGCCAAGCAAGAGTTTTCAGAGCTTCCATTAGCACAGTGCCTGATTTCCCTTCAGGTAACTCTCTACCCTTAAATTGAGGTCTTTGGAGGCACCCACTCAAACCTGTTTGGATGTGACGCCAGTTTCAGCGCGCGCTGAACTGCACGGCATCCTGACATTCTTTCTTTTAGCCCAGCCCCCGACGAGCTTTTTCTGGAGGGCAGGGCCTTGTCATGCCTTGTCGACAAAGTGCCGAAAAACGGCCGAGGGCCCATCCAGACCACAGAGATTTTGCCCAGCTCAAGAGCTTGTTTTACTGTCGGGACTTATGCTAACGCCCGAAGACAGTTGGTTTATATCGTTGCTATCTTGAGCTTCATGTCGTTAAGAACACACACACACACGCACGCACGCACGCACCCGCAGCCAGACACAAAGCCAAGGGGCCGTCACTTTGTCGCAGGACAAGTTTTCAATGTATGCAGACGCTGTGGTCGCACTGCTTCGGGCCTTTTCCCTGAGAAAACCAAAGAGGCTCGGCACCTGACGCCGCTCCAACTCCCGAACGCGACCGCAGATTGGGAGCGCCTTCTCGTGGTTTGTCACCTGCCCAAAACCGTCGATCCTGGTTTCTCAGTCTATGACAAACCAGGTAATCCAGGTAATTTCTCCAGGTTGTTTCTGGGAAGCCAGATGTTGTGATCCTGGATCTTTAGGCAGGTGAGTTGAGGCACGCTTTTGAGCTTGCAGAACAAAGACGTTGGGGCCATAGAGTTAAGCGCAGCTCCCCTTCAGCCGCACTTTCCATGTGGGCACGCAAACAACACGAAACCGATAGTCTCCAAAAATCGACTGGTCATATTCTCAGCTCATGGAGGATGCGGCTGCCTCGAGTTCCTTGATGGAACTTCGGGTGAAGTGAACCCCGCTCGGCGGTTGGGCGCCCCCTGCAGGCGGAGGGGTTCCAAATTCAGTACGCCAACATACAATCTATTTGTTGTGCAAAGGGATGCCAAAAAGAAGAGCACCTTTTTGGGGGACTCCTATTGAAAGACGGAGTATGTAAGTCTCTGCGTGTTTGCGTGCGCAAGGCATTGCGAACCCTTGCACCGTGTAGTTCACATCACTCCGGTTATCCGCAAATGCGGGAAGTGCGCTATGCGCCGCTTCGCGGTGAAGACTGCGTGCGGCGTGTAGAAATACGATGCGTTGCGCCAGCCTCACTTCCTGCCACCTGGGAAGCGCGATAGAGGCGAAGCCGGGGAGACGACACGGGCAAAGTGCGAGGTGCATCAGTTGGTTTTCGGCTGAGCGGCCGTCGGTTCAGTGTTTTCACACGCATACCGTACATTACTGTACCAGCTGTCTTCGAACATAAACAAGAAGGCAACGCTGCGAGCATCTCATCTTTGATCGTATATCTTGACAGCCCAGGAGGGCTTTGTCGGGACAGCATGGGACAGCCAGGAGGGCTTTCTTAGGACTTGGAGAGAATCTTCAAGAGGCCAGCATGTTTGGTGTTCTGGAAGTAAGCAGAATATTCTTAGATGCGTATAGATTCATAGATGTGATGTGTTTTGTCGCGCAGCTGGTGCCGTTCCAGTGGCGCAAGGTGGGACTAAGTCAGTCGTCTCCATGGGTTCCAGGTCACAAGGGTGTTTTTGTTTGCCGGCCAAGGGGAATGGTAGTTCTAAGTCCGTTGGCAGGGCACACTTGCGGTGAAGATGTTTTCAGACATCTTGATCTCACTTGATTTCTGCACAGGGCACAGGAAGTGAACTTTATTGATGTCAGTGATTTTTTGAGGGGTTTGCAACAGAGCCGCGGCGGACATTCTTTGCAGACCTCTCGTTACACACCCTGATTACACACCTCAGACGAACAAACCGCTTGGCTGGTTGTGTGCCCCTGGTTACGTACCCCAATGTACGGACTCTCTGTGATTTCCCACATGGGGTGCTTGCAGAGTAGACTTTCGCAGGGCATGTTTTTGCTGAAGGGTCAACTTGCAGAGAGCTTGCCGTTCGGATGAAAGGTTGGAACAGGGGCCGCTATACCTCGTCACACGCCCCGTTAAATAGCCGTGTACTGTGCTTGCACTGAACAGTTGCGACTTTCGAGCGGGAGCTGCTGCTCTTCGTTGTTCTGCGCTACATTGCGCTATTGATACTGATACGTGTCAAGAAATGTTTTCCCGTCACAGACCCGTTACAGACCTGCGTAGCAAGATTCGTGGCGCGTCGCGCGTTACACACCCTCAAAATCATTCATAGCATTGTGTCAAAGTGCTTGCAGCTGAGATCCTCAATGAGTGGATTGGAAGTGTGAACTACTGAGTGCTGTTAGGTCAAACCGTCTCCGATTATAAGTGCAATTAGCCGGCACTCCCATCAGCTGGATTCCAGCGATTTTCTATCTGTTGAGTCCCGACCTGTCATGACCCTTGCCAGAACCGCAAATGTTTGCCCCAATTGCTTGCGCCCAGTGGCTTTCGCGGGCTGCATCCAACGGTTTCAGCGCTGTATTAAGAGTGCAAGGTAAAAGGGGATTGGTCGTTAAACAGTCTGCGCTGATCGTCTACAGACTTTGATATGACGGTTAGATCCGCGCATTGCGTACACGAGCCAAGAGATTCCACAATTCTTCCCCAAGCACACGAGTTAGCAAATCTTGAACCATGTACTGCTGGCTGGAGTTTTTTGACACGTAGGTCAAACAGTAGGATCGCGAGCCAAAGAAAAATGTGGGGATTAACAGGCGGTTCGCCCGCGGCTGGGCCAGGCTTGTTGGCCTCCTGGCACTGTCAATGGTCGGCCCTGGCCTGCGTTGGAAGCACCGAATCGGCGCGTCGGCACCAGAGAAGTTTCCGAAGTGTCTGAAGTCAGCCACAGGGTTTACTTGGGTGTGGCTTCTTTTGGGGATCCCGCAATGCTGGTTTTCGTTTTGGTTCCTGATTGAAACCACCGCAACAAGGGTGCCCTCAAAGACGAATGGAAGATAGGAAAATCATGGCAGGAAGGTAGGAAATGTCTTGGGCTTGCAGGGGCTCTTGGTGGTCTCCTCAGCCTTTGGGGCAGTAGATCGGGCAGCACTCCAGCCACTACAACGCCCTCCTCGATGTCACTACCGATGTCGTCAACATGCACGTGCATATATTTTAAATTATTGCATATAAGGACTAGGAGCCAGGGTTCTCCTTGCAGATACAATCAGGGCCAAAAACAGTGTGCCTCTGATGTTTAAAGTTTAGTCAATGAGGACACTGCGAAGCTACTGAGCTGTGCCACAAACACCATGGGCGGGGGGGTTGCTTCCATTCAGAGAAACGTTTGATACTGTTCGCTGTCAGCGCAAGCGATGCTCATGAGTAGTTGCCGGCCTGCGTTGCAACTGATTTGGCTCTAGCTTGCAGACACAAGGTGCTGCAACTGGTTGGGCAGTACTGCAAGAGGCCACAACGGCTTGCAGCTGAAAGTATTAGCCGCGTCTTCTTTTTGTAACCTGATCGTTTCAGACCCTGAAAGCTTTTAGCTTGCCAATGGCAGAAGAGACAGCACTGTGAGTGAACTCACCTTCAGCTGCTTTAGAAGCTTCCGAAGACACGTCCCTCAGATCCACAGCTGCCCACGAGTTTGAATGAGGAACACCCCAATGGTTGTTGGACATAACTCCCCACAGTGTCCACCAAAGAGTCTCCATTTCCAACCCATGTGACCAGGTTGGATCAGCCTGGTAACTTGCATCTCTCCGTCCCATGCCATGGTGAAAAACGAGGACTGCCATGGCCGGGATTCCTCAGAGCCGCTCGCGGTTTGAACCGGTTTCAACTTGGCGATAAGCTTCTCACTCCTGAGTCCATGGACTTGATTTTTGGGAAGACAGTAGTGGTAAATAGAAAGTTCTGGCCTGTTGCCAGGCCCCTCAAGTAAGACTTAGTATTCCCGGCCCAACTTGTGAAACCAAACATTGTTAGCGGATGTTTGTTAGGAAGCAAGTATTTTCTGGAAGATGGATTGCTGGCTTTCAAAGGAAATGCGGCTAGATGGCTCTTTAGGGGGAAAGCTTGGCATCTATGGGTCCAAGGCCATCGAGGTCATCTTCGGCGAGAAGGCGGTTTCAGCAGTGTCGTTTGTGTTGGACTTCATCTATTGTGTGACCGAATGGGTTCTGGAAAAATGGGCTCGATCGGATGCTACTTGATTTCTCCTTTGGGAACCCCCGTTCCTGCATTTTCAATGTAGCCCATTGGCTACAAATCATCATTTGGGCAGGTGAAGAAGCTTGGCTTTGAGATCGGCCTTGAGGCGGGCAAACGGAGCATTAGCAAACCCTGGTCACATCGATTTAAGAGCCTAGCAGTGTCGTCCTTGGAGATAACCTTGGAACATTGAGCTTTTGTCGATGGCATCGCTAAGTTGTATGGCAAACACCAAGGCCAGGCTCCATTTGAACCACAGTTTCAATCACTTGAGTATGTTGGCGATGTGGGAGTCAAATGCGCATTGACGATGCTATGGACTGGCATCCTGGGCGCGGCTCGGACATGATGTGAAGGGCTAGTGGCTGATTGCCCTCACTTTTTCAGCCCCTCCTGTCTTGCTCCAACTCATCTCGATCCCTCATGCTTTGCTCATCCAGGATGAGAAGACCTGCATCTCGGGCGTCAAGCCAGGCTGGGTGCGCTTCGACGGGTTGCTCCCAGATCATGTCTGGACACATCGAGCTCGGTGGCGGTAGAACGAGCTACACAGAAGGTCTCTCAGCGAGTTTTTCATTTCAAGTTAAATGAGAATGAGTTAGACATAGAGTAATTGCACAGATCCAATCACTCCTTGCTTTGAATGGGTGTTGCTCGCATGGCCTCCCGCCTGCCCCGCTTCTCTCCGCAGCCGGGAGGGCCATGCTGAGGGGACTTGTGGCCATGAAGTACCGCCCTCCTGGGTTCTCCGATCCAGCTTTATGGCCATTTGGCTGTTGGCTGCTTGCACCTCGGACTATGGATACAACCCAGGTGACAAAAGGCTCCGATGGGACACGCCAGCGGCCTTTTTTGGGCCCGGCGCAGCGGCTTTCCAGGCAGCGAGGCGCATCAGCGCGACCTGCCTCACACCCAGCCAAGGGCATGCAAGGCCACCCTTGGCAGGATCCAGCATCCCCATTCGCCCTGGAACCTGTGTGCAAAATTGAGGGCCAAGACACGAGGCCGGCGCAGATGTGCCATGATGTGCCTTGCTTTTCGCCTTGAAAGCTGGCACCTGCTCATTGAGCTTCCTTTTCCCAAACCGGAAGTATTCTCCCAATTGCCCTGGGCAGCTGAGGCGAGCTGGAGATGTGCTGATTTCCATCAACGACGTCAGCGTCCAAGTCGCAAGGGCTGGGGAAATGCAGTGCGCGCCGCCATCAGCACAAGGGTCAGACAAGTAAACGCGCTTTGCGGCGAAAGGGAAAGGGATCGTGGCTGGTCATGTTACTGATTTTGCAGGATGTATGCCGTCCATGGTCCCAAAGCCAAGACACGCAGGGGCAGACATTAGCACAATTAGGGCCTTGCGAGGGATTGGAACTGGCGTGTTCAAGCAAGTGACCGCCCCAGGAAGAAACCCTTTACACACCCAGACGAAAGGCGAAGTAGCCTAGTACTTACCCTTTCTTGGTTCCCAGACAAGCCGACATGAAACAGGGGTCCCGAAGTTTCCTTTTTCGGTCTTTTAACGCATCACCTGTATGGCCCATACCAGATGAGTGTCCCCCTGTGAGGGTGATATAGGGTGATATGTCAACATGTAGGGAAACCAACATGAAACGGACCATGTCGAGGAGTGATTTGATGGAGTACGCCATGAGGTTCCCAACCTGGGTTCTCTCACCCTCAGGTGCCGGTGGTGAAGCCCGGGCGGGACGAGATCAAGGCTCACCCATAGAAGCATAGACCCGTACATGCATAGATACGCAAGTACATACACACTTGCACAGAGACACAGGCACGCACACTCGCTCGCATCCGTCCGTCCGTCCGTCTGTCCGTCCATCCACAGATGCATTCAAAGATGCATGCAGCATGCATGCATGCAATAATGTTTTATTAATACACACCTCCCTACCTACCTACCTACCTGCCTGCCTGCCTGCCTGCTTGCCTGCCTGCCTGCCTGCCTACCTAACATGCATGCATGCATGCATGCATGCATGCATGCATGCATACATACATACATACAGTCAAGTTGAGTGCAGCTTTCCAGCCGGATTTGCGCGACTGTTCTGCGTAAGATCCGCAAAAGTTTTGCGACAGTCGATGGACCTCCCGGCCAGTTTCCGAACATGGGTGGACAACGAGTCCCCTCGTGTGCTGCCGCGCTGTGAGCTGGACCTGTGGAAGTGCGCTTCGTGTGCTACTTTGGAATAACATCGTGTATGCTACTTTTGTATTGAAAAGTCGCGGCTTTCGAGCCGGGGCTGCAGAAGTTTAGTTAATGTACTTCTTTCGTATTGAAAAGTTGCGACTTTCGAGCCGGGCTGCGGAAGTTTACTTTGTGTACTACTTTCGTAGTGAAAAGATTCGTGTGTTCGAGCCAGGGCTGCGGAAGTGTACTTCGTATACTTCTTTGGTGAGGAGTGTGTTGAGAACAGTCCCGCGAAAGTTCCGCGATGGGGTTCGGGAAAGTTATTTTTGTTCGCAAAGATGGCGGTTTCCGGAACAAGGAATTTCAGACAACAGTCATTTACACTGCACACATGTGCGTGCATGCTGCATGCATGATGCATGCATACATACTCACATGCACGCAACCATACATGGAGACATACAAATACACAAGCATGCCCATAGATTGACAGGCTAAAGGCACACAAACAAGGCAGACACACGCACGAACGAACGAACATATCAATATGTTTATAACATGTTTATAAATTCGAACGTGCACAACATGTTTGCACATACGTACACATACAGTACACGCCCCGCCTTGTTATGTGTACGCCAAAGACAGTGAGGCGAGCTTACAGGCACAGAGCCACACACACAAACAAAGACACACAAAAACAGACGCACAAACACCGCACAGGCACAGACACACACACACACACAAACGCACATGCACGCGTGCACGCAGGCACAGCACAGCGGGCACTGATATCACGCACTCATTGAACTGACAGAGCCATGCCGCAAGCTGGCAGCCATCTCGGTGCGAGGCCTTGCTGAAGCAGCGGCCCTTGACCCTGCGGCCAGCGCCTGAGTTGCCGTTGCTGAGGTTGGGGTGGTGGATGGTTGTGGCCTTCCTGCAACAAGCTGGCAGGAAGATGCCGGATGGTTGCGTTGCTTTCAATGCTCTTAGTGCGTGTGCAGACCAATGTTCTTGTGGATGAATACAATTGACCACATTTAGTGGACATGTGAGCCTGGCTTTGGGATGCAGGATTGAGAGCTTTGTTGAGAACTCTTCACTACATAGGTGTGAACATATTTGCATCCGCGGATTCGGGCAACAGCATTGTGGTTACATGTTGCCTCCTCCAGGGTGGACCGCCCGGAGACTGGCAGCAGTCTCAGAGAGCCATGTGCAACCTGCAACCTGCAACCCGTGCCCCTTGTGCAAGGGTCCAAACCACGGCTTGGTGAAAATCGAGCCTTCTGCCGGGGGGAGGGGAAGGATTTGCTCGTCAAGGAAAGACGATGCACGACTCATCATGGGATGCGTCATGCGTTTTGAGTTATGAGGGATCTTGACGATTCACATCACGCCCTGGACGTGGATCTGCCTGTGATCCAAGGACCAGCGGCAAGTGAAGACAGCGGCTCGGAGTCGGACACCGGAAAGGCCCATGAGGGAGAGCCGGTTCAAAACAAGGTTTCCCAGAACGAAAAGCTGACTTTCCAGCGTCGATCGTCGATTTGCATGGGAGACGAATTCTAATTTTTGTCCAGCTTGGCAGGCTCCGCAGGAGAGGCACGACGCCGACATGGCGCTGCTGCACCTTGTCACGAAACAGGAGGGAAGCCACAGGAAGCGACCAAAGGAACCAAAGGAACCAATGGAACCGGAGCCGGCAAAACCTGAAACATGGCTGGGGTTTCTTGAAGGGTTATTGAGTTGAAGGCTTTTGTTGTTGTTTCGATTGGCTGGGCAATCGAAACCTGAATATGAAGTTGAGACATGAAGTTTACGGAACAGCCCGATAGGTGCGGCTTTCTGCCCTTTGGACGAACATGGGTTTGGGTAGACTTCCTCAAACAATTGCTTGTGGTGCTGGCTCAGATCTGAATCGCGGGGATCCTTCATCGAATCGTTTTGCACCAAGTGTCAAGCAAGCTCACCCATGAATGATCCTTCTTTGGGGATGTGAATTCAAGCAATTGCCCATATATGTCAATGGGGCCTTTTGTTTTGTTGGCCTCTGCTTTTCAGAATGCAGAAATTTGCACAGCTCTGCTTCCCAGCCGATTGGGACCCCAATTTGCTGCTGGGTGCCTCGCCCAAGAGGCGAGCATGTATCGGGAACGCCCCAAGGCAAAAAGCAAAGGCCCGAGCTCGAAAGGCGCGGCGCTTCGGCCGCGAACATCGAGTTGAGATGTTTGCATTTCGGTTGGTAGCAGCCGTTGGCAGCTTTTGGTACCTTAGCCCTGTTTTGAGGGCCAATCTCGCCCTTGCACCTGACTGGCGGAACTTTTCACTCGGAGGACACTGTCATTCCAGCAAAGATGGGCTTCATGCAGGGACTGCAACGGCTGTGTGGCAGTAACCACACGCTGCTTCACTTTGATGAGGCTGTTCTCGCTTGATTTGAATTCCTTTTCTTCTTTGTGCTCAAGGCATATGAAACACGCATGCCGGCATAAACTCATTTGAGAACCATAGTCGTTCATGTTTGTCCACTGGCTGTGATGACTTGTCATTCGAGCAACGGCAGCAGTGGAAACCTTTGAGGCTCCCCCAAAGGGAGATTCGTCTAAAAGCGAATTGATTTTCTGTGTTACAAGTCAATTCGCCTGAGAGTGTTGACATGCTTGGCAGCTTTTGCACTCAGACGGCAAGAACTCCAAGTGCCTAGGTGGGGCCGCAAGTGCGTGTAACGTGTGCCTGGGCAAACAGATTTAGGTGTCCAAGTTGCAGAACAAGTGTGTGGCCCTGCAGTCAGCAGCCCATGGGTCTTCTCCTCGCGAGTTGAGCCAGCCAGGGTTTACGTTCTTTGCCAGACTTTGGAGTGTTCAAGCAAACCAACATATTCCCAAGTGAACCAGGGTGACCCCTAGCTGTGGCAAGTTGCAGGCCAAATCATAGCTCCAAACAATCATCAGCCACACCTGGCACTTTTTCGGATGAGCAAACCCCCCGCGCCCCGTTTCCCAACTATAGATTGCAAGCCATGTCCCAACCCGCTGTTTCCCAACACCCAGCAGTTTCTGAAGCTGCAACAAGGGTGCAATGTCCCAACCACCGGATCCCGCTTACACTGCCTTTTGGCCTTGGCCTCATGGCGCTGCGTCTGAAGTTGGTGCGTCGGGACGGCGAGAGCGGCGAAAACGACGGCGAGAAGCGGCGGCTGGTGCTGGTGCCGAAGGGCCTGGAGCTCGTGGCGGATCTGGCGAGGCACCTGCAGGTGGCGGGGCCCATGCGAGTCCAGGCACGGGAGGCCGAGAGGTGCAGGCCAGCTGGTTTTTTGTACAAACCTTGGGTGCTCGCCTTGAGATTGTTGGTTTTGGTTGGGGGGAATTGGCCGCTGCCATTTCTCAGATAATTGCGCTGTCGCTTTTTTTGTTTTTCTTTTCTGTTGGCCTGGCGATGCTTATGACACAAAGGAAACCAAAGCTGGCAACCACTGCCATATTAAATCCATTGTAATCTGGTGGGTGGCCTGACTTCAAGTTTCGGTAATGGGGCTGTTGATGCGGTTGATCAAGTTTTTGTGTGTGTGTGTGCCCAACACCTGTGTCGACCATGCTAACCGGGAAGTGCTGACTCCCTGAAGATAGCTCAAGAGATCCCCCTTTCAAATAAGGAGATATGTTAGGGCCCCACCAAGGTTCCCGATTCCCAGAGCCCCTTCCAAAAAGTTCCAAGAGCCTTCCTGAGGGGAGTGCCGCAGTCTCAGGGAAGGGAATGAAGCATGTTTTTTTTGGAAACCAAAAACGAGGACAGCTTCATTCCATTTCGTTCCCGTCAGAGCCAGGGCTTTGCGCTGCTCCCCACGCTGCCTCTGGCCGACGTCCTCCGCGACGGCGACGAGGTCACCGTCGAGGCCTCGAGCGCGGCCGAGGTCTCGACGCCGCCGGCGCCGGCGCCCGCGAGGGCGGGCTCGCCGCGGCGGAAGCGGAGGCGGCCGCGGCGCGTTGCGCTAAGATAGCCCCGCTTTGTGGGACTTCCCCACTCCAAAAAGGCGAGGATTCGATGATTCAATCTGAGGTTGAGTGGAATGAATCAGTATCTTGAATTGGGTTTTGCAATCGGGAGTCATTCGTGCTTCCCCACTTTAGCTTGAACAGCACAGGGTTGGAGTTTTGCTGCGGGGTGAGTTTGTTCAAGTCGCAATGCTGCTCATAGCCAAGCTGCTGCTTGTTTCGTCCTTGTTGATGTTTCTTAGCCAAGGACAAATAGGAAATGCGGGAAACAAAACAGGAGACACAGCTTGAAACAAGGAGAAACATCTTGCTCGTCCTTGTTGATTTGCGTTTTCAATTTTGTTTGCAATTCTGGCTTCTTCTTTAGGGGAGTGGATCTATTGCAGGGAAGTCGGTTGATCCGGTCTAACCTTCTTTGGCCAATGGCCGAGACGGCAGAGCAAGCCATGGCCGTCAGGCCGGCACCGGACGAGCCGAAGCCGGCGCTGGGCTCGAAGTCCATGTCGTCTTCGGAGGCAGTGAAGCTTGGCGATCCGGGTGTATCCGCGTTCTGTGTTTTTTTGAGTATCATGAGCGATCCACCCATGTCCTTTTTTGGTTTCGAAGGAGTAGTTTGTGCTGATTGGCCTGGCAATTGGGTGAACAACCAATGTTGACAAGTAAATACCCAGGACATCCAGCAGTAAAAGGGATGCCACGAAGCCTTCGTTTCTATTTCCTCAACATGTATCTCCATTCTTCTGAAGGCCTAGCGCCGCACTTGGACAACTCGCCAGACGGGCAACTCTCCACGAGTATCCCAGGCACATTCCAGGCACAACTTGCGGATGTCACTGGGCTCAAACCACACAGATTCCTAGCTTCGCGTCGCGCATTTTTTTGTGAATTGTAG